CCCGGACGCCGGGGCCCCTGCCCCGACACCCACCCGCACCGGCCCCCCCGCCCGGACGCCGGGGCCCCTCCTGGACCCCCAGCCCCGCCCGGACGCCTGGGCCCCCCTGGACACCTGGGCCCCTAGATTCCAGGACCCCCCCCAGGTGCCAGGGCCCCTCCCGGACGCCGGGGCCCGCTGCCCCGACACCCACCCACACCGGCCCCCCCGCCCGGACACCGGGGCCCCCCCGGACGCCTGGGCCCCTCCTGGACCCCCAGCCCCACCCAGACGCCTGGGCCCCCCCGGACATCTGGGCCCCCCGGACGCCGGGGCCCCCCGGACACCGGGGCCCCCCGGACGCCTGGGCCCCCCCAGACCCCCAGCCCCTCCCGGACGCCTGGGCCCCCCCAGATCCCTGAGTCCCCCGGACGCCGGGGCCCCCCAGACGCCGGAGCCCCCCCGGACACCGGGGCCCCCCGGACGCCGGGGCCCCTAGATTCCAGGACCCCCCCCCAGGTGCCAGGGCCCCTCCCGGACGCCGGGGCCCCCCAGATCCCTGAGTCCCCCGGACGCCGGGGCCCCTCCCGGACCCCCAGCCCCTCCCGGACGCCGGGGCCCCTCTGCCCGCACCTGGATGCCGTATCCCGGCCCCGGGGCGAAGAGGCGGCCGCCCAGGAGCCCGGTGAGGTTGTGGGGCGGCCCCCAGGAGCGCCCCCCGTCGGGGCTGCGCAGCACGAAGGTTTCGGGGGCGGCGCCGTGGGCCCCGCGCGCGAAGAGCAGCAGCAGCCGCCCCCCCCCGGCCGCCACGGCCGCCCCCAGGCTCAGCCCGTCGCCCGCGGCGCCGTCGTCGGCCACGAAGCGCGACGGGCCCCACGTGGCGCCTGGGGGGAGGAGACCCATAGCGCCCCATAGCGCCCTATAGCGCCCCATAGCGCCCCATAGCGCCCCATAGTGCCCCATAGTGCCCCATAGCGCCCCATAGCGCCCCATAGCGCCCCATAGTGCCCCATAGCGCCCCATAGCGCCCTAGAGCGCCCCATAGTGCCCCATAGTGCCCCATAGCGTGCTATAGCGCCCCATAGTGTCCAATACTGCCCCATAGCAAGGAGTGCGACGGGCCCCACGTGGCGCCTGGGGGGAGGAGACCCATAGCGCCCTATAGCGCCCTATAGCGCCCCAGAGCGCCCCATAGCGCCCCATAGAGCCCCATAGAGCCCCATAGCGTGCTATAGCGCCCCATAGTGTCCAATACTGTCCCATAGCAAGGAGTGCGACGGGCCCCACTTGGCGCCTGGGGGGAGCAGACCCATAGCGCCCCATAGCGCCCCATAGCGCCCTATAGCGCCCCAGAGCGCCCCATAGCGCCCCATAGCGCCCCATAGTGCCCCATAGCGTGCTATAGTGCCCCATAGTGTCCAATACTGTCCCATAGCAAGGAGTGCGACGGGCCCCACGTGGCACCTGGGGGGAGGAGACCCATAGCGCCCTATAGCGCCCTATAGCGCCCCAGAGCGCCCCATAGCTCCCTATAGCGCCCCATATCTCCCCATAGCACCCCAGAGCGCCCCATAGCGCCCTATAGCGCCCCATAGCGCCCCAGAGCGCCCCAGAGCGCCCCAGAGCGCCCCATAGTGCCCCATAGCACGGAGTGCAACAGGACCCACGTGGCGCCTGGGGGGACATGGGGGGACGTGGAGCCCCACAGCGCCCCATAGCGCCCCATAGCGCCCCACACTGCCCTATAGTGCCCCATAGCACGGAGTGTGATGGGCCCCACGTGGCGCCTGGGGGGAGGAGACCCATAGCGCCCTATAGCGCCCCATAGCGCCCCATAGCGCCCCATAGTGCCCCATAGTGCCCCATAGCGCCCCATAGCGCCCTAGAGCGCCCCAGAGCGCCCCAGAGCGCCCCATAGCGCCCCATAGCGTGCTATAGCGCCACATAGTGTCCAATACTGCCCCATAGCACGGAGTGCAACAGGCCCCACGTGGCGCCTGGGGGGAGGAGACCCATAGCGCCCCATAGCGCCCTAGAGCGCCCCATAGCGCCCCAGAGCGCCCCAGAGCGCCCCATAGCGCCCCATAGAGCCCCATAGCGCCCCATAGCGCCCCATAGCGCCCCATAGCGTGCTATAGCGCCCCATAGCGCCCCATAGCGCCCCATAGTGCCCCATAGCACGGAGTGCAACAGGCCCCACGTGGCGCCTGGGGGGACATGGGGGGACGTGGAGCCCCACAGCGCCCCATAGCGCCCCACACTGCCCTATAGTGCCCCATAGCATGAAGTGCGACGGGCCCCACATGGCGCCTGGGGGGAGGAGACCCATAGCACCCCAGAGCACCCCATAGTGCCCCATAGCGCCCCATAGTGCCCCATAGCGCCCCACACTGCCCCACAGTCCCCACACCGCCCCACACCGTCCCACATCTCCCCACACCGCCCCACAGTGCCCCACATCGCCCCATACACCGTCGTCGCTGGAGCGGTGGCAGGCGATGAACTTGGCCCCATAGACCCCATATCTCCCCACAGTGCCCCACAGCGCCCCATAGCGCCCCACATCGCCCCACATCGCCCCACACCGTCGTCGCTGGAGCGGCAGCAGGCGATGAACTTGGCCCCATAGACCCCATAGACCCCATATCTCCCCACAGTGCCCCACACCGCCCCACATCTCCCCACATCGCCCCACATCTCCCCACACCGTCGTCGCTGGAGCGGCGGCAGGCGATGAACTTGGCCCCATAGACCCCATAGACCCCATATCTCCCCATAGCGCCCCACAGCGCCCCATATCTCCCCACACCGCCCCACATCGCCCCACACACCGTCGTCGCTGGAGCGGCAGCAGGCGATGAACTTGGCCCCATAGACCCCATAGACCCCATATCTCCCCATAGCGCCCCACAGCGCCCCATATCTCCCCACACCGCCCCACATCTCCCCACACCGTCGTCGCTGGAGCGGCGGCAGGCGATGAACTTGGCCCCATAGACCCCATATCTCCCCACAGCGCCCCATATCTCCCCATAGCGCCCCACAGCGCCCCACAGCGCCCCACATCTCCCCACATCGCCCCACATCGCCCCACACCGTCGTCGCTGGAGCGGCGGCAGGCGATGAACTTGGCGCCGGCGTCGCCGGCCGAGACCTTGCGGCCCTCGGCGCAGGCCAGGAGCGCGCGGGGCCCGGCCCGGAGCAGCAGCGGGATCCGGAACGCGGCGACCGNCCGAGACCTTGCGGCCCTCGGCGCAGGCCAGGAGCGCGCGGGGCCCGGCCCGGAGCAGCAGCGGGATCCGGAACGCGGCGACCGAGCCGGAGCCGGCCGTCCACAGGAGCTGCTCCTGGACAATGTGGGGCCGCACCTGCAATGTGTGGGGTGGTTATGGGGCGCTATGGGGCGGCTATGGGGTGGTTATGGGGCTATGGGGCGCTATGGGGCACTATGGGGCACCTGGAATGCAGAGCCAGATCCGGAGCCGGCTCTCCACAGGAGCTGCTCCTGCAGGATGTGGGGCCAGACCTGGGAGATATGGGGCGCTATGGGGCGCTATGGGGCTATTGGGCGCTATGGGGCGGTTATGGGGCACTATGAGGCGATTATGGGGCACTATGGGGCGCTATGGGGCGCTATGGGGCACTATGGGGTGGTTATGGGGCGCTATGGGGCGGTTATGGGGCGCTATGGGGCGCGATGGGGCACTATGGGGTGGTTATGGGGCGCTATGGGGCACTATGGAGTGGTTATGGGGCACTATGAGGTGGTTATGGGGCACTATGGGGCGCTATGGGGCGCTATGGGGCACTATGAGGCGGTTATGGGGCGCTATGGGGCACTATGGGGTGGTTATGGGGCGCTATGGGGCTCTGGAGCGCCCGGCCCGGAGCAGCAGGATCCAGGTCCCTATAGGTCTCTATGGGGCTCACTATGGGGCACAGGCTCCCTATGGGGCCAGGGACTCCCTATAGGGTCTCTATGGGTCCCTATAGGGTCTCTATGGGTCTCTATGGGGTCTCTACAGGGTCTCTATGGGGCAGGGCACCCTATGGGGGTCCCTATGGGGTCTCTATGGGGCTCCCTATGGGGCAGGGCCCCCTATAGAGTCTCTATGGGGTCCCTATGGGTTCCTATAGGGTTCCTATAGGGTCCCTATAGGTCTCTATAGGTCTCTATAGGTCTCTATAGGTCCCTATGGGTCCCTATGGGGTCGCTATGGGTCGCTATGGGGTCTCTATAGGTCCCTATGGGTCCCTATGGGTCTCTATGGGTCCCTATGGGTCCCTATGGGTCGCTATGGGTCGCTATGGGTCTCTATGGGTCTCTATGGGTCCCTATGGGTCTCTATGGGTCTCTATGGGTCGCTATGGGTCCCTATGGGTCTCTATGGGTCGCTATGGGTCTCTATGGGGTCTCTATGGGTCTCTATGGGTCCCTATGGGGTCTCTATGGGTCCCTATGGGTCCCTATGGGTCGCTATGGGTCTCTATGGGTCTCTATGGGTCCCTATGGGTCTCTACGGGGTCTCTATGGGTCTCTATGGGTCCCTATGGGTCGCTATGCGGTCTCTATGGGTCCCTATGGGGTCCCTATGGGTCGCTATGGGTCTCTATGGGTCGCTATGGGTCCCTATGGGGTTGCTATAGGTCCCTATGGGTCTCTATGGGTACCTATGGGTCGCTATGGGTCTCTATGGGTCCCTATGGGTCCCTATGGGGCGGGGGGGGTCCCGGGGGCCCCCGCGCGGTGGGCGGGGCCAGGACCCCCCCTTACCCAAGCCGCCAGTGGGCGGAGCCTCCTGCGCGCCCCCGGAAGCGCCCCCTCCCCTCCCCGGAAGCGCCCCCCTCCCCGTGACCCGGAAGTACCGTGTCCGGGGTCGCCACCCAGGCGCGCGCGGCCGCCGCCAGCGCCAGCAGCGCCACGAGCGCCGCCATCTTGGGCGCGGCCCCTTTAAGAGCCGCCGTCACGTGACCCCCCCGAGCCCCGCCCCCTCCCCCGCGCGGGCGGGGCCGGCTCTTAAAGGGGCAACGGCCAAATAAGGGGGGGGCGGAAAAACAGGCGCAAAAATGAGGGAAAAACCCGTTTATTGGCCATTTTGTACCTCCGGGGGGGCCCCTCCCTCTTGGGGACCCCCCCGCCGCCATCTTGGGGGCCGCCATGGCCGCCTGAAGGGCGGGGCCGCCCGGAGCCGCCGCGGCCCCTTTAAGAGCAGGGCCCGCCCCCTCCCCCGGGGCGGCGGCCCTGGCCCCGCCCCCTTGAAGGGGCCCCGCCCCTTTCCGGGCGGCCCCGCCCCCCGCTGTGGTGCTGCCGCCCTCCCATTGGGCGGCGTCCGGGGGTCAAAGGTCAGCGCTCGGCCAATCGCAGCAGCGGCCCCGAGGCCGAGGGGATCCTGGGAAAGGGGGGGGGGAGTGACCGGGGGGTCAAGGGTCAC